ACAAACAAATGGGCTGAGCAGGAACTCTAGAGGAGTGAGCTCAGGAGGTGAAGAGATTGCTTCTTGCAGCGTGTCCTGAAATTCCCGAACTCCCTGTTTTGGACCAAAGTTGATAGAAGTGATTGATTGTGTGAGTTGATTTTAACAGATCCAAAGGGTTGTCCAGTGAACAGATCGGTTCAGCTCATCTGCCTCTGTACCTGTGGGAGGGATGCAGGTAGATGGGGTAATTTTTCAAATCTGTTAGGAGCCATTTGCATGAGACTTCTGAGTGATGAGAATGAACAACCTGATTTTTAGTGCGTGCGAACCAGCGACCCGGTGAGGTGTGGGGAGCCTGGGGGTACCTTTGCTTCCCTGAGGCACTGCTGTGAGCAAGGGTGGGTCCTGAAGCCTGCGCTGGCCGACGTTTCTCTGCAGCTTCCCGCAGTTCCCCGTGGCAGCAGCTGTGTCCAGGGCACGTGTGTTCCCCGTCCCCAAGTGTGTGCGGCCAGGCGACAGTCGTGCTGCTTTATCAGGATGGTGTGAGGTCTTATTTCTGGCTTCAGAAGCAGCCGGAAGCAGGAATTTGAGTGTCTTCCAGTTGTCATTTGATACACCAGAAGCAATCTCTGCTTTCCGTACGCCGTGGAGCACACCGTGTGTTTCCCTGCTCACAGTGCTGCCTCTTGTGCTCCTCTGGGCTCGCGTGGGGCTGCACAGGGAGGTTTGCTGGAAGCTGAGAGCGTGGATGTTGGGAGAGGGGATCGAAGCAACACGTCTGTCAGGTGCAAGGCAGATTGTACCATCTAATCCCCCGGCTGTCGTCTGCAGCATTTGTCAAGGCCTCTGTTGCCCTGCTCCGTTTCATCAGAGCTATCACTGGCATTCATCTAGGCTGGCAGCATTTCAACAGCTGTTAATCCTCTTTGTATCTTTAAACACTGTGACCACTGACAAGCTCCTATACTCTGAGGTGTCAAAATATCTCAAGATAGCTGTGGTTGAGGTTTGTTGTTTTTTAATCCAGACACCTTCTGATCTATTGACCCAGACTGAACCTGATGGAGAATTCTTTGTCCCAAGTGTCAGCTTTGTAATGCTGCTGCTTGATGTTCGAAAAGAATTTAACCTAAAATCTGATTAATTTCTAGTTCCTCATCCTTGTGTTGCTTGGTTTTCTGTTTTACATGTTACTGCAAGTAGCGCCGGTTTCACTCAAGTTGTAAGGAATGTAGTTTAATGTCAATGTGAGAATGAGCTGGCAGGGTTTTCTCTTTATGCTTCAATTACTTTCCCTCCTGAAATAACCCTGAGAACTCAGTCTTCTGCTATATTGTTTTCTTACTTTCTTTGCTGTATGTTCTGGAAAGGGCCTGGGCAGTGTAGCGAGGTGTAGTAGTGAGTGTTGGAGTTTCTTTGCATATTTGCAGCCAAGGAGGAATGCTGAATTAAAATTACTCCAAATTTAGCTCTGAGTTTTAAAATTGATTCCCTTTGGAAGGGGAATTTTTAGCACAAGGGTGTTTTGGGAAGAGTGGGGAGCAAGGGTATAGCAGAAAATCTGTTGTAGAAAAGCAGCAGGGTAAAGGAAAGTGGTTCTGTTGCACTTTAGGCTCTAGTTATGTATTTTTATAGCTTCTTGGCGTTTTTATTATTTGCTACGAACCATCATTTAGTAGCAAAGAAAAATCTTTCAAACTAGCATTTCTTTGTTTAGTTTGTTTGTCCTCTCTGGAGAGCTCTCTCCCCATATGACAAAGCTCTGATGTTCTGAAGTTGACTCCCCTAAGGCTCAGCTTTATTGAGAGAAGTGAAACATTTTAGGTGGTTCATTCATTCTTTCTGTGTCTTTTGTTATTTGAGCCCTTATGGTGTCCTTTGGTCATGTTTTTAAACTTATTTCTGCAACTAAGACTGCCAGAAGCTTTATTTAATAATAGTTGAGGTCTCATGTTCAACTTTTTCTTTGTGAGCTGCCATTTTATCTCAAGCATCAAATATTGTGAAAGTAAATTAAAAGCAGCATTGATGTCTTGTAATTTTGTGTGGAATGTTCTCTCTTTTAGTGTGCCACTGAATATCATTTTATGAAGATAAAGGACTTCACTAAGACTATGGGCAGCTCAGACTTTGTTTCAAGTGCAAATACCACACCTTGATCCTGCAGAATAGGCCTTGTGTGGGGCAGCCCTGCTGAAGTTGGGTGAAGTGCTCAGGTCGTACCTAGCCTGGTTCCTCATTTGCAACCTTATTATAAAGCCTTAGATTGTTGTAGCCACTGGAATGTTATCTCCTGCTGTAGTGTGGTAGGTAAAGTACCGAAAGTGAAGCGGCTCTTGCACCTGAAGTCATATCAATGAGGAAAATTACTCTCTCTAAGTAGAAACCCCAAACCACTGGAACTTTCTGAAAGGCTCTTCTCTTGCCCATTTTGCCCACTCATTACTCATTTAGTGTTTAGGAAAAACGGAAATACGACTTTCCCATGGTAGGAAAAGGCCTAAAGGCCAAGGGAAACCTGTTTAATTAGTCTGCTTGTTAAATGAACTCAGATTTAAATGGTAACCTGCTGCTTTTATTACTTGGGGAAGCATTTCAAGATTCATAGCATTGGAAATACTGTTTCATCGGGTTTTGAGGGGGGAGGGGAAAGAAAGTGGCAGAGACGTCTGGCCCAAAGGCAGGAGGCCCAGTTAGATCATCTGCAAAGGTGTGTCCTTTCCGTTTTTAAAACCCATCAGCTTTCATTTGCAGGTCGAAGGCCTTCTGTGCTGCCCCTCTGTCTTTGTGTGGTGCCATGTGGTTGCTTTGAGGCCAGGTCTTTCCTCCTTTTTATCACTGAGATTCTTGCCTCTCCGTTCAGGCTCTCACTTGCCTGCTTTTAGGAGCTTTAGGATCCAGAACTAAGCCCTGGGTTTCTTTCCCAGCTATTTTTGTTTGTGTTTGTAGTTGATGTTGCTGAAGATGAGGCTGACTGAAGTGCTGGGCAGTTGAACTCTCTAATAAACTAGGCAAGGTTGTGCCACAACCACTTTGCTCGACAGTACAACCAGGAAATGATTCTGTTGGCTATTTTTTCTTTCTTTTGGTGGGTTAAATGCAGCCTCATGCTGGGTCTCACGTACAACATATTTGTTCCTGTTTTCCTCTCCTGCTGCTGTTTCACTGCAGAGTGCTGCAGGCTAATAGTATCTGACGGGGCTACTTCCCATTGCCTGAAAAATGTTTAATTTTCCACCTTGCTTTCTCTTTTTTCCCCAGTTTCTCTCATTTTGATCTCTCAGATCCAATCCCTTTGAGAAATCAGACAGTATGAAATATGAAAATTGCTTGCGTAGTAATTGGAGAAACGATGAGATTTATGAAGCCCAATGGAGATAACACTTACATCTACTTATTCACATTATTTAATTTTTAATGGCAAATTTAATTAATGAAGCACAGGTCTTGTGGTTTCATATGTGAATAAGTAACAGCAGGGAACTGAAAGTCATGAGGTCTGTTTATAGGCCAGAGAAAAAGGCACCATTAAAAGCTGAACTTTTCAATATAGGAAGGAGAAAAATGGATTTAATAGCATAGAAGTTTGACCACTATGTAACAAGTAAACAAAAACATTAATGATAGTTTGCTGGCAAAATGCATTTTGAAGTGGTTAGTCCTCCAGTTTAAATCTGTCTCCTAGGTCAAAGTTTGGAAAAGCAAAATCTGTTCTGTGGTTTTTTGGTATGTGACATAAATTCAGGCAGCAGAGATAAAACGCTTAAATATAGCACCTTGAAGCCCAGGCTCTGAAAACCTGTATAAACCTTCCAATTAGCTGAGCTTCACACAACTTCAGAGATACAGGCAGCTGTTATCCCTCACTTGCAGATGGAAAATGGTGACTTGCCCAAGATTGCACAAGTGGCAGAACCACTAATAGAACGTGAGTTATATCTGTCCTTTCCTTTTTTCAACCACTGAACAGTATGTGTCGGCTCTTCATGCGCAGGACCACAGCTGCATTTATGGGAAAATAAATGAAGAAGGGCAAGAATAGTATTCTATATAAAATGACCAAATTTGGGGAGAGATGAGATAGCAGCTAGAACTGGCCCTAAATGAATAGCTGTCCTCGCTCTCAATACCATTTTGTCACTTCTTTTGATTGATTATTGCATATTTTCTGCTTGTGCCTTTTCAGACTAAGAGGCTTGCAGATGAGCTTTGAGTGAGGCAATTACATAGGGAGTCCAGAGGCTTTGCCTAAAGCAGCTTTATCAGTGGTTTAGTGACACAAGACCTTGTAGTGCAGTCACTGGGGGTGCACAGCCCTTCCCTCCTGCTGTTTGTGCTTGGGAGGCTCTTAAGTGCAGCCGAGAGGAGGAATTCATCCTCCGTGTTCAGTGACTGAGCAGTTGTGAACTAAAACTCTTCCTGTGCAAGTCCAGGAGAATTTAGTGCAAACCTCTTAAGCCCTGCAGCAAGACACTCAAGACTCTGTTTGGCAGTGCCTTAGCTGATACCTGATATGCCTCCCTATGTTGTTAAAAGGGAAACAGGCTGCATAATTTTCTTTTAAAGAATAAGTAACATAAGTAGAAGCAGTGAAATGTAAAATGGATTTTCCAGTGCTAGCAGCCAATTTTGATACTTGCATGTCAGTAACTTACAAGATTCTTCACAGCAATTAATGAAAGAAGAGAACAAAACACCACCAAACTCAAAATAACTCAGTGCTGGAAACACCTTGTTTTTGTGGTTACATGGAATAATCAAAGCTGATGGTTGGTTGTTAGTGACCTTTCCCCCCCGCTTTCCCTTCACAAAGGTGAAGCTTGGAATGAAGGATGTGTTGTGGTCTTGATGCGTCTTGCTGGAAATAAAATTGACTCTTAAGCCTTTTTTTATGTTCTTTGAACTGAATATGCTGTTTGTTGTTGGAAATTGATATTAATTATAGAAGATAACTTTATGACTGTAAGATCTGAGATGCCTTTAAGTTTTAGAGCTGTGCATTCTATTCTTTGTTTCAGAATGCAGAGATCTACAAGCTGACATCCGAGCAGTACCAGGAGGCAGCCACCAAGGCGGAGGAGTGGATAAAGTGAGGAGCCATTTTTGTTCTTTCAGCAGTTCCAGTTGCATTTCATAATGCTTTGTGTGTAGCCTCTGGATATTCACATAAGCAGAATGTGAAGTTACTCCTGTCAGGTATTGAGGGGACTGAGGAGGTATGAGCTACCATCCTCTCTTTCCATGCCAAGTTTGACAGGGTCTTGTATAAAGTATATAAAGTATAAATCTTGCAAAGAAGAATGAGAGAGAAGACATGGACTTAGAAAATTCATATTAAATAGAAATACTTAGTAGGGTTTTCCAAATGGGAGTGCAATATGCTTAATCTGTTCAGACTTTGACCTAGTATATTTAACCTACACATTGCAGCGTTGGGCTGGTGCATGGGAGCAGGGAGAATGGCACCACTTCTGAAGTTTTCATTGTCCCTGGGGGGAAAAAAGGTAAACACCCTAAACCTTTGCCCTGTAAGTTTCTAACTAGAGTTGTAATTTTCATGAATGCTTTCTTAGAGTGGGTGCAATGGCCTTTTTTATTGGCCTTGGCACCATTTTTGGACCTTTAATGTTGTCCTTTTACCATGAGCATATTTAGTGTCTAAATTCCATTTGTATTTGCCAGGAGTGTTATATATCTTATTGTTCCACATGCACTAACAGCTGCCCAAGAAAAAATATTTTCTATAATTCTTTAATATTAATGAAGCTAAAGCAATTACACTGTCGAGAGCAGCACTCGGATCTCAGTTGGGTAAACAGTTGGCCAACATGCAGCAAACTGGAGTAGCAGCATATGTAGTCCGGTTGGGTCCAATCCAGACTGTACAATACTTAATTGCATAAATAGATAATATAGTAGTGAAGAATATGTTAGTGGGGTGTGCAGTATATTGTGCTGTCTTTATTTAAAGTTGTATTTGGCTGCCAAAGCATCACATAACCTGTTGTAATTTCACATTTTTGTTTGGACAGTGAAGCAATAAGTTGCTAAAGAAGCCAAAACAAGGCAGCTAACACATTGCATGCATTTCCATGCTGTTTTCCATAGTAGAATTCTAAATTATCTTTTTAAATAGAATTAAAAGAATTCATAGAACATAAAGTTCTGACAGTCTTTGATCAGTCTTTTCTTGGATTTGCTTCTGCAGATGTGTCATCAGTTGTTGGGAACACATGATTTATCCTTGTGACTTGGTATAGGAAGAGACCAAGACCTGGGATTATGTTCCTTACTTACTATTGCAGACTGTAACTAACCTGTTTTTTATAGTAGTCTTAAGTTTGGCTCCTGATAATTCAGTTTCATTTGGTCTCCTCTGTTTCTTGTGGAGCTGAAGACTGGTAATGTAGGAAGCTCAGGAATGCAACTATTTCTCATAAAGGTTAGTGGCTGAGACCAATGCAAATGCTAATGAATTCTTTAAGATTTGGACCATGTGTTTATAGTCTCTTAGGGGCTTCTTCCCTTTTTCATTGAGCTTTTATCATTTAACAGTTCCTGGCTTCTGGCCTTATTGGACAGTGCTCTTCTAATTGATGGCAGTATGAACTTGTGCCATCACAAAGTGTCAGATTCCTTGGTCTGTCTTCTTTGCAGCAAAGAGAGACACTTGCCCTACTGTGAATTTTGTGCAAAAAGATAACATGGCTGGGAGTGTCTTGAGAATCGTAGAATCATAGAATTTTAGTGATTGGAATGAACCTTATAGATCATCTAGTCCCAACCCCCTGCCCTGGGCTGGGACACCTCCCCACTAGACCAGATTGGTGGCACTTTTTCATCCAGCCTGCCCTTGAAGACTGCCAGGGTCAGCTACCACTTCACTTCCTTGGGCAACCTGTGCCAGTGTCTCACCACCCTCACAGGAAGAAACATTTTCCTAATATCTAGTCTAAATTTCCCCTCCAATTTGAATCCATTACCTCTTGTCCTGTCACTGCAGTTCCTAACAAAGAATCCCTCTCCAGCTCCCCTGTAGCCCCTTCAGATACTGATAGACTACTATGAGGTCTCCACACAACCCTCTCTTCTCCAGTCTGAACAGCCTCAACTTCCTCAGCCTGTCTTCACAGGGGAGATGCCCCAGTCCTCTTATGAGCTTTGTGGCCTCTTCTGGACTTGCTCAAACAGTTCCTTGTCCTTCTTACATTGAGGGCACCAGAACTGCAGGCAGTATTCCAGGTGGGGTCTCATGAGAGCACAGTAGAGTAGGGACAAGTTGTGTGGCAGTACTGAAACTGCGGCTGTGAACATCGTACATTCTGTTTCTTTGTAGTAGAAATTGCCAGCAGTAGCCAGGATTGCACTGAACTGGGTATTGGAGTGCACAGTCTGGGATTGATAGTGCGTTTGATAATTGTACATGCAGGAAGAATCGTTGCTTTACCCCATCAGCCTGCAGTGTGTGTCTCTTGCAGCAGCATGCAGTGACCCTTGTCAGGATTGTTGCCTTGGTGTACAGCAGTACAAACACTCTAAGGGTGCACACATGTGGGTCATGTTAAAGCTGGGACCAGGGTCAAGGGAGCTTCCTTCCTGTATTGACATCCATGCTCATTTGGTAGGACTTGAAATCTGCACCTTCTGAGATTCACTTTTTAGGCATCTCACATTCAAGACTTTCTACAGCCTTTCTATGGTAATAAATGACAAGATCCTTCAGTGTAGGAATAGTTTGCTCATCCTGTTCTGTGCTTTCATATTAGACATACAAGCACAGTAGGTGCTAATATAGGTTCGACTGATTTATGCAGATCTAATAGTTTGGTTGGCAGGAATAAACTGACACTCCAGCAAAATTACATGAGGTGGAATATAGCCAAATTATGAATGAAGAGCAGGTCTGCCTGTTTCCAGTACTGGACTATAACAGCTCCTTAAGAAAAGGAAATCAGGAGTGGCACTTTTTCCATCTATGGAAGAGAGTCCATCTTCTTCACATAATGTCTGTTCCCTAGCTTGTATTATCCCTGTTTCACTATGAAGACCTGCCCCTGGCACTTCTGCCTTGTGAGACCCGTCTACCCTCTCTCTGCTCTCCTCTGCCATTATACATCAGCAGAGCTGATGAAGGAAGAGGAAAATAGGGCTGGGGCTGTTTCCACAGTGAATACCCTGTTTTTCAGAGTCCATGTTGAAGCAAAGAGAAGAAATATCTGAAACAAACCCCCCAGTGTTTTCTTGGCATTTAATGACTTTTGTAATTCTTTTATCAACACTTACAGCTCGGCACAAGTGGTCCAGTGTTCCACGGACTATTTCCTCTCCTTAGTGATTGTCAAGCATTGCAGGATTTAGGAATATTGGTACAAGCTTTCCACCAGTGACCCTTCACAGCATGCCTGCGAGGTAGGCAAGTAAACCTTCCTATCTCCCTTTGTATAGAAACAAAAACGGAGTACTTAGTGCTGAGCTTCATGTTAAATCACTGATGCAGTCATTAGCTGTTGGTTTCCACTTCAAGGCTTGATACCTGCATGGCCTGACTTGAGCAATGGACTTTGTTCCTCATCTCTTGGCCTGAACGCAGCCTGCTCCTGTCTCCACATTCCTACTGCTACAGTGTCTCCATCTCCTTTGTTCTGGGCTCTTTCCAACCTGTTTCTTTTTCCCAGGAAGAAGATCCTAGCAACAAGATACCACTGAGCACAGCTTTCAGCACCTTAAGCAACTTGCCCTTGTTGCTTACATGCTGTGGTGAATTGGACAGTTGCCACGGACATGTTGTCTCAATGATGTTGTTATAATTGGTGCATTATTATTTTCTCTTTTGTTAACCAACAGAATTAAAGTCAGGGGACCTAGAACTTTTTTCCCCTCTTCTCTCCCTGTTTAGCAAACTGTGCACATCAGTAACCACCCACAAAGGAAGCAGAGTGTAAATAAAAAGGCAGTGCTCCCCGCCCTTCACTTCGTTCCACATCCTTTTCTCAGTGTTCATAGAGCCATGACTCAGACTGGGTTTAGAGAAGACAACTTGCTAATCCCCTCCCCGCTACAGAGAATAAAATGGCATTTCATTCCAAGCTCTATTAATGCTCTCGCTCCAGGGATAAAGCAGCACTCCCAAAAGGCAGTGGCCAAATTTTTTTTCTGTTGCGTTGTCTTTGTCTTCTTTTGAGTGTTACATTTAGATTAGCTTCTGAGGATTAAATGTTATTACAGTCCTCGAATCTGTTAAGGGGAAGGAAAAAACCATCAGTAAAGAGGTTATAGCTTAGTGCAGCACTCTAGATTTATCCTCAAAATGCTTTTTTTTCTCTTAAAAAAAATGATTTATTTTCTTTTGTGAAGATTGCCTTATCACTTTATTTTATTTAATTTTTGTAATTGTTAATTTTGGATGCAAGAATTGGCCTGGGTGGGGGTGTGACTCTAAAAGGTAAAGCTGCAGGAGTGGGACGAGGGGATTAGGAGGCTGTTAAAAGATAAAACTGTTCTGAATCTGAGTTTCCCTCTGAGATCTCCTTATAGTTTGAAGAACTGTTTCTGAAGCTGCTTACTGATGACTGTGTTGCTTTGCATGTTGTGCTGAGAGGACTGCATATGCTTTGTGCTGTTATCAAGGAGTGCATAAAGAATGTCGGTATCTTATCCTGATGGAGATCAGCCTTGAATCCAGGCAGCTTTCCAATGGAGAAACTGCCAGAGAGATTTACTCCATATGGGACTTACTATCTAAGAGTTTCATTTAATGGTCCTAAGATCTTTAAACTTAATGGACATGAGTATTTAAGGTGATTACGTTAGAGAAACCAGTAAGTAGTAAGTATCCTCCTGGGCTGAACGTGGAGTAGAAAACCACACTGACTCAGTGAGGGTAGGGGAACAAAGTTCAGAGATGGATCATCTGCTGGGAATGGGGAATTTATGGCTTGCCTTCAGTACTCATGGAAATGAAGATTTTATTGAATTGCCCAAGATTTTATGAGGCTGATGGCCCCTCAATTAGAATGGCAGCACGAACTGGAACCTAGAGAAACTACCTTTTTTTTTGTTTGTTTGTTTTTGTTCATGTAGATCTGGAAA